GCTAATTGTATTTTGAGTCATATAAAATAATTATACAGTTGTATAGTAGTTTGATTAGCCAAAATAATTTATTGAGAAATTATTTTCTAAATGTGTGTCCATATGAATATATTGCAAGTAAAATTTAATGAATGTTTTTTTTAAATTATGTCAAAAAATGTTCAAATTAGGAGTATTCAAAGATATTGAAAATCAGGGCCTTTTCCCACTTTCACACCAAGTGAAAGTTTCTCCATTACCCAAAAACAACTTGTGAAATCTTTGGTAAAATATTGCTTTGAAACAATGTAAAGAATGTCATGTTTTCATTTTTACTTTCTTGAAGTTAACCATTTAAAAAATAAAATTTAAAAAAATATCTAGATACTATCTTTTTCCCACAAAGATAAAATCTTTCTGTGTTTATCAAATGGCTGGATTAAAAGCAATAACAGCTATTTTTACATTAAATTTACAATAAATGAAAATTACTACATTTAGTAACTTGCTTATGGTTTCCAGTTCAGTTGTCATACTCAAATATCTGACTTGAATTTATATGCTTGATTTTGTTTTTAGTCCCATCTGGGCTTTTTTAATACTAAGTCTGTATGTGTAGAAATAAATTGGCTTATTTGTTTCTAAAGTTACCCTAGGTCTGCTACACAATGCAATAGTAAAAAAAAAAACAAACCCAAACCAAACATGAATAGTCATAACCTGCTATAACTCTGCCTCTTTGTCTCAGTGGACAGATTTTTTTTTTCCCTGTAGTAGTCCAGCATTAAAAATCTGGGAATTGTTATAAAAGAAAGAATGTGCCTTACAGGTGTGCTTCAAAATAAGTATTATTTGGACTCTTCCATGATTAATGAAATTTTCTGTTCAACTGTTTTAAGTCAGACTGTGAAAATAAAAGTGGCATTCACTGAAGTATAATATTTGCAAATTCCCTTGAATACCATTAGGATAATAATAAAACACGTGTCTTAAATCAGTACATTGACTTACTTAGTTTATTTCTTTTCTTGATCTCTGAAAAGTTTCATGTTACTTTTTTATGCTTCTATCTGTGCCCTGAGGGTTTCATAATAAAAAATAAGGCAAGTCTTGTTAATTATGAATTGTATCCAAAAGGCACTGGACAGATAGTTGTAACCCACTTCCAGGAATGTCATGAAATGTTGCCACTGGTTGTATAATGAACTTCTATTTATGTCATTGATGGTAGTGACAATCTGACAAGGGAAAAAATGTCTTTCTACTCTGATTTCTTTTTTGTATGAACAAAGAAAAAGGAACAGAAGAATAAGCTGTCATCAAGAAAAAGAAACGAGACATTTTTCTTAGTGCAAATGTGGAATTGTATTTGCTTACACACTGCAGCTTTAAGGCTGCAATGTAAGAGTGTGCAATTTTAGAGGAATTATGGAGAAAAGTTAAAACTGAGTAAGTGGAAGAAAGTATTAAAACCAACTAGCAGTAGGTCAAGATTAGCATATTTTGTGTCTGGGGAAAGGCAAGTTAACATACATGGCATTTTGGAAGCAGTTACAACTTGACAGGTAGTAAACCACAGGCTAAACTCAGGAAGAAGAGAAAATCCTATTCAGAATTGTATGCTTTACAATGCAAATTTTTATGGATCACCTATTAGATTTCATTTTATATTCCTTATTAAAGAGTCTTTTAGGAACTAATCCCTTTTGCCATTTTCAAATAAAATTTCCCTTGACCTCAATGTCTGAGCATATACTGACTTAAAATCTCCACTCTGACCCATTCATGTTGCTGTATGCCATCAAAGCATACAATTGAACTGGATTTCATATCTATCTCCCAGTAAGGATCACAGAACAATTTGCTTTAAATACATTAGCAAATAATTATTGCACAACAAACAATAGAAAATTTCTACTTATAATTAGAGACTCGTGAACATCAATGTGAAAATAACTATATATTTAAAAGCTGTCTTCAACAATGGTTCACTGTTGTTTCCACCTAAAATCATCTGTCACAGGTGTTAAACGTGCTCTCTAATTTTGATGGAGTCTTAATCAAATTGCCTATGCCAGAAGTCAGTTCTACATTAAAATATTTTTATAATGTAGGACAGCTTTAGGATTTGTTATCCAGGTAGATACTCTCCAGGTCACTTGCTTTCCCTCTGGTAAATAGAAGAGTCTACAAGAAGTTTCCCAGACAGGGTACTCTGAAAAATGCAGATCAGACAATTCAGGATTTGGGACTGAAATAGACTTCCTGTAAGTCACGAAGTTCCTACGGGGGCTATAGCAACTTCTGTGTACAGAAATATAATGTAATTAAAGTCTTCATTTTATCAGGGTTTAAATTTGATAGTTCATTCCAGTTTAACAGAATAATTCCCTAAGTAATTCCATTTATTACTGGCATACTGCTTTTGGAGGTGATTACTGTGCTGATATTTTTCTGTTATGGTCTTTTTCATACGAACCTCTCTCTGTATCATTTGCAGTTAGCTTTGTATCAGATCAATCACAAGATGACTGACAGTCATAAGGAAGGAACAAGAAAAAATTATTTAATCATTTAAAATAAAAAGTGCAGTAACAGATTCCTGTAGAGCTGAACACAAACCACAAAAATACAGATATTATCTGTATGAATAAAGAGAATGCAATGTACAAAGGAGAATGAACCTTTCCTCCCTCTTTCATAAGCTCAGCACTCAACTTCGCCCTCCATTTCCAACTCCAACACCTCCTACCCCAAGGGGCTCAGGGGGATGGGGAACAGTCCATAACAGCTCCTATCTACTGCTCCTTCCTGCTCACATTTTGACTCTGCTCCAGCCCCTAGAGTATCTCCTTCTTCTCTGACCAGAAAACAAGTTCCCTGTTGTTCCCTCTCCTGTTTTCCAGCATTTTTGTTCCCTCACTTTGCTCCCTGACATTTTTTCCCCCTCTTGAATGCATTTCCCTGAGGCCCCACCACCACAGGTCTCTCCTCATAGAGGTTCCTGCAACTCCCAGTGCCAGGGACAACATGTAGTAAAAGTTGAACAGATATAAAAATGACAGGACTGAGACAGATGTAGTGATGAAGCTTACTGACAGATTTGGAACAAAAAATAACAAGTCCTCTTAATGTTTTTTTATGATTAGTGTATCAAAAAGACAAAAAACAACAAATGTTTTACATAGGAGGCAACCAAGGTAATTGAAGGGTAATCAGTGCTAGTGGTTGTAAATCAATTAAAATGTGTCTGTAGGTGCTATGAAATGAACACATTTCTTTGTGAGTCCAAATGGAAACAAATGTCTCAAACACAATGAAGACAAAACAAACAAAAAAGAAAACATACAAAACTTCTGGCTAGAAGATCAATATACCTGTTTTCAGTTCTTCCAAAACTCTCTTGGTTTCCTCACTGACTTGCTCCATGCTTTTGTGTTCTTTAATAAAATTGTATTTTATTAATAGAGGATAAATAACCAGGACATATTCCCTTGTATATTTTGTAATTATAATATCTTGAGGATGAGAGAAATAGAAAGTACACATTTTTTTGAAAAGTCATGGGAATATTTAGTTTTCATGCTTATTGTGAAAAAAATTAAAATTATTAATATTAGGCTCAAAAAATATGTGAAAAATTAAGTGGAGACTTGAAATGTTTTTATCTTTTCTGCAGAAAATAACCCTTTACGGAATTTTCAGCCCTGAATGGCAACTATTGGAGAGCAAAGACCAGTCAGACTGGTCCACAGTCAGACACTTTCTTATGTTTTAGGCCAGAAATTTTTTTTAGGTTCACCCAATGACTTTGTTATTGATCAAACATAACTCTATTCTGATTTTATAATTTTAAATATCAATATTATTTATTGTTCTGAATCCCGATTTTTTTAACCAAATGACATTCCATAAAATTATTTGAAGTTTATTAATTAAGTAGATAAAGACAAATTATTTAACATATGCCAAGTGATCCCTTTCATCCAGCAAAATTTTGGGAATAAATTGTTTAATTTAACAGAAAATAAAATCTTAATTTTTGCTTTCCACGATTGCTATTATCAGTTGTGCACTGGGTTTGGGGAACAGTTTTCTAAATAGTTAAAGTCTGTTTAATTTTGTTTCTAAATAAAAGGTAATAATTGTCCAAGTCTGCATCAGCCATTTAAGATTTAACTTTTTCCTTGAGCTGTAGTTTGCCACAGACTGCATAATAGGAATGATGAAATATAACAACAGAAAAAACCTACCCAAATTTTCTTTTGCTATTTCTAAACTACAAAGTCAAAGGAAGTTATATTGTAAGGTCTACCGTAGGATAAATAGAGATATCCACTGTTGGCTCTGGAGGAAAATGCTTCAGGAATGTAGTAGACTGATGTTTGATGTGAATTTTCCACCTAAAAAAATCTCAGAAAAAGACTCTATTCTTATTGTAAATCTGACTTGATAGGAGTGACACAGTAAAACTTTGGGGTTTATATGCCTTTGGTTAGGCAATTTCCATCAATAAAGTATACAGTTTGGAAAAAGAGGGTAGTTTTTCCACAGGAATAGATTTTTCTTGTGATCAGCAGTGATTCATTCCTGAGGCATGGCTTCTCATCCATCTCTGTTTTCCCCCAGATTTCTGTCAGAATGAAGTAGTTTCAAACCCTACAGCAGAAATCTATTAAGAGATGGTGCAAGTAGAATGGTTTCTCTCAGTATATCCTCAAACATTTGATTGTTGGTAGCTGAAATTTCTGGGTTTGCATTTAACTTACTTTAGGTATTTATAATGTAAAAAATATGACATATAACTAACAAGAGATTATAAGAATATTGATCTTTATAATTACAGTGCTTAGCTGTCATCTTCTCAATATGGTTGGAAAACCATCAAACACATTTTCCAGCCTGGCCTGAGGTCAAATTCAGCTTATCATCATTTTTGACTCTCTCTCTGCCTTTTTCCCATGTGTAAGTGGAAATAGCTGCCCAAGTGATGTTTTGTTCTGTTTTTTTTTCAAAGCCTGACAGAAAATCAAGCTGGCAATGGGCAAATAGGGTTCTTCTGCCAAGGGGTTAGCAAGCAGTTACTGAGAAAGACATGGACAGCAGCCATCGCCAGAAGAGTATTTCTCAGCACGGGGGAATGACAATCAAGAAAAATGTCCTGAATCAGAAGTGAGGACATGGATTAACTATTTAGAGGTGAGATTCCTATGTAAAAACTATGCAGGTTCTCCATAGGTTATTATTTAAATACTGTAATCCTGTTATCAAGGGGTTTTTTTGCATACTTTATTCAAAGGACTTATATCTTATACCTGGACACAAATTCAAATGCTTCCCTAGTACTGGAATTTACTTAAATTGATAGCTAAATGTTTGTCTTTTGATTGTTCCATTCTGTTTCTTACATAGTGTTTAGATATTCTAAGATCTACAACTATTTCTGTGATGTACCAGGTACGCTTTATCTAATAAAATTCTACAATATTTAGGTATCGTTATGCATGTAGATTGCATATGTAGAGAAGATGCATGTATTGAACTAATATTCACTCCAGATTATTAGCTTTTGTTCTACAGTGTGTTAACATCCATTAAACTAAATTAATTAGCAACATTTTAGTAGAATACAAGGGAAATATAGAATTTAGTAGAATACGAGGGGAAAAGGGTGTCACAGGAAATAATATTATCTCTGTTGGAAGCTTGGTTTGTATGAAGACAGAAAAGATCTTTAATATATGGCAGACTTATCCAGCAGTAATCTTAGAGTAAGAAAAGAAGGACACTCATACTACTGCAAATATTTGTTAAAACTGTCTGATTCATCCTCCATGGCCAACAAACGCTTTTCAGAACTCACTGTGATGCACATGTGAAATATCAGCTTCCCAGTTCCCACTGCTATCAGTCAGATTCTTCTACATCTCAGAATCTAACCCAATGGCAGTACCTTCAGCTCCCCTTTTTTTTTTTGGTCAAAAAAAAACCCTAACAGGATAAGTTTAGCTAATTTAGAATATGCTTTCATAAAATGAACCCAATTAACCTACCTGTAGTACATTTCATAATAATTCCCAAGTCCATTCAGTGAGGCTTGTTACTAGTTTAAATTCTATATCCATTTGGGAAATATTAAAAAGTGCTTAGGTTTGCTTTATAATAAGTCAAATTCCTATTAAATTACTGTTTTAAGTCTCCTTCAGCTGTTTCTTACATTAAAAATAATTTTGAATTAAGTGTATGATAAAAGAAAAGAATGCCTTTTTTTCTTAATCATTTTTTGTTCTTCATTATCCATGGACATTAATGGAGTTTAATTTGTCGTAACACCAAAGTTTTACACTTCATTAAATCTATGTGCCAATAATTACGGACCTTATTGATTTCTTGTCTTTTTAGCTATTTAAGAGCTCTTCAGGGTTTGTCTCCCCCTGGATTGTTTTTCTCACATTGAGATGCCACTGCTAATCTTTCAAAAGAAAGGTTGAAAACATTTAAGCTTTCTGTAATACATTCTCATCTTCTTTACCATGTTACAATTAATTAGATGAACTCACAAGACTTTTTCCCATGCATAGAATAATTCAGAATTTTCTATGATGATTCTGCTTTAGCAAAAGATTAAAAAAACTCTCAGTGGTCTCATAATATACAACAGACTATAATTGTAGCACAACGATTTAGTTTTTTACATTAATTCAGAGCAAAATAACCCAGTTAGACAGATAAAGATTGCATAGATAAGGATTAATATTCAAAAACAAGAAAAGGATTTAAACTGCTAAAATGGAATGCAGGTAGAAAATAGTTCCCTAAATACAAAGCACTGATTTCTTTTAGTTTATTGGAAACCTAGTCATGTAAGTGTCTAAACTCACTAGGCATAGCTGATCTGACCTAGAAGCTTCATAGAAGTACAGTTACATACTGTGTGTAAGTCTGGAGCAAATCAAACCCAAGCATGGTGGAAACTAAACCAGTCTACAGCATGTGAGATCTAAAAACTTGACTTCTTTTCGAGGACTTAGAACATTTTAGAGCATATTAACATGCTGAATTTACTATGTGGCTTTGTTATGAATAACTTTTGTGCAGGGTTTTTTTTGTGGTTTTGTTTGTTTATTTGTTTTCTTTGTTGATTGGGGTTTTTATGTTATGTAACTTTGTAACTCAGAAAGATACCTTGCTAAAAATATTCATGTTATCTAACTTCTACTTAAGTTTGGAAGTATATCACTGTGAAATATAAGTGTATATTTAACAAATTCACTGAGGACTGAAAATTCTTAGATCTGACCTTCTTAACTTAAATCTTCATACCCAGTGCTCATGACCCTTACTTTTTTGAACACAAGTCTCCTAATCTGTACACTTTCAAATCGCAGGCTATCATCAGATCTGATCTGTCCTTTCTTAATAACTGAATGTTTCCATTCATGTTTAACCCGATCCTTCCATATTTTTTTCTTTGCAAATCAAATCAACAAACAATTGCACCCTGATATTTCAGATTAAAGCCATAGAGCAGTATAGGGCTCTTAAGAAACAGGCAGGTAAATGTGTTACAAAATCTCACACTAGTATTTCAAAACTCCATAATGGTTGTGTTTTGATACACAAACCAGTATTTGATTTCTTATAAGGCGGATTATCAGAATGCATTTTCTTTAAGTTCTATAGACGATGCTGCTTAATATCTTAACATATGCAGCTTTATGGAATCAGTTGATTATCAGGTATTAAAAACTTGATAATAATGGCATTATATTGCTCAGGACAATGTCAGTGATGTCTGATATCAGTTGCCCAGGACTGCCCCTTCAAATCCAACCCAGTTTACTAGTTTTAGAATATCAGCAGTTTATAAACACCCCTCCTTGTCATTCTTAGTTGTTTCCCTCATGGACAGATATGCAAATCATAATTGGTAGTTTTACTGTCATATTAGAAGAGGATGAAAACTGAGCAAGAAGGGAAGATAAAAACTCTGGTATCTTTAGATGTCATATTACTGCTTTCTGGTTTGATTCCATGTGGACTAACAGCTGAGAAGATAAGAATTTTCCTTTGAATTTATACTTACCTGCTTCATTCCCACAGCCATTCTAGAGCAATTAGAAATTATATGAATAAGATTAAAAATATTTCTGAATGTTAACAATAAAAACTAACCAAGATCAAATGATTATTTGGTCTTCAAACCAAGTGGATTTTGAGCCCTACAGAATACAATAATTTTTTTTTTTTTTTTAATGCAACAAAATATTTTTTTTTCTCTACAGATCACAAGGAAAAGTAAGAGATTTTAAATTTTTCAAATGGGTAGTTTAATGAAGATTTTTTTTTTAAGAGGATATGTGCTTAACCTACTGCTACAAATACAGCAATAAATATCACATTTCCTCAATTATCAGAAATCAAAAAGCACAAGAAACTTCCAGAAAACCCATGTAGCCAGACAAGATCCCAGTGGTGCCAGATTTGCAATTAAGGTAGAAACACTGATAGGTGTTCTTCAAGAAAATATTTTTAAGAAGGCATCTTCTTTAAGGGGATTATTTTCAAGGGATTATTTCTCTATTGTTTTCTTATAAAAGTCTTATAAAGACAATATTACAGAATTATCTAAAGTCAATGGATTGTCACACCTGCTATTTCTTTTCTACATATGAAGCTAACTGTCCTTAGAAAGTTGGAAAATAAATTGTACCAATACCTTTATTTATAGAGAAATACATGCTGGGAAATATAGTGTTTTATTATCCTACAATTAAGTAAATAAATAACATCTTAATATTTTTCCTAATATAATCCCTATCATCAGAACTAGACTGTCTGAACTCTGATTCCCCAGCCACTACTTTTCTCCCTTTATTAATGAGACATACTGTCTTTTCTTCACTTTATCTCAGTGTTCTCTTTCTAATCTCCATAAAATCTCAGAAAAAAAATATGGTCATAGCACTTTCTGTAAAAAGCAGAGGGAAAAGATTCCTGTTTCCCTCCCTGATGGGTATTGGAACTAGACTTTCTTTTTCTCTTCTTCTTAGTATGCACTGTATTATCATCTCTAACCTCTATGTTTTTAATGTTCTCAAAGAACAGTAACTCTTTTCTCTCCTTAACATTCTGATTTAATCCTTACATGTCCACTTGCCCTATATCTTCATTGTCTTCCGTAGTAATATGTGATTGCTTCTACTTTGTGAATGACCTTTTTAATTTCAATATCATCAAATTACTACTGAAGCAGTCAAGTACAGCTCTTCTTATGGCTTACTCTTGCGTGTGGACTGAATACATTAGCTTTTGTATACATAGAACCTTTTAGTGAGAAGTTTACTATATTGCCTTTTTGATACACACTTGTTTCCTAAAATTTATTGACATCGGTCTTTCAAAGCATATTATTTTCCTTTTCAACCTTTTTCCTTACTAAGTACTTTCACGAAAATTACTTTCAGTATTCAAGTTCTCAGAATCCTCCATTTTTAACTCAGAAAAATAAAAAAATCAATTTAGCTGAATATTATCTCCTTATAATTTCCTTCACTTACTGAACTGAAATGTTAAAGTGCTAAGAATTTTCCATGTCAATGAATCCAGTACATTGCACTTGAGTAGCCTTACAACTGCTCATTTAAACTGGTCCATCTTGGTCTTAAACAGCTTGGATTTTATTCCTTTAACAGGTACGGGAAAGTTGTTATAGAGTCTTACCTTCTTGCAATTTACAACCTACCTATGCTTATTTTATGCACAAAATTCTTGTGCCAGTTTTATTCTTCATTTGACTTATTTCTTGTACTTCATGCTGACACCCTATTCCTTAAAAAATATCATCAACGTATTTTAAGAATATACTGAGCTGTTTAGTGTATTGTATTTTTCAAAAAGAAGATTTAAATATGGATTTCAGCTGGACTTCCAAGATTTATATTTCTATCATAATATATGTCTAGGAGTGTAGTTGAATCAACAAGAAGAATGGATTAGAGTTTGAATTTCCTTAAAGTGACATTCCCATTACCAAGGAAATTTGAGATATGGGGTTTGTAGTACTTCAGTCTTTTGCTACAGTCAGGGTTGGCTTCTCGTCATCAAAGTCAGGGTAAATCCATTTGCATTTATTGCAAATCTTCATTCATGTTGCTGTAATCAAATATTGTCTCATAGAATTTATCTGCTAACAACTG